ACTTGTGAAGTTTCGTAAAACGTCCAGACTTCGCTATAGGGTAAGGGTTGACACATGGATATGAAGAAAACACGCGCCGCGTCGCGGCAACCACAGCCCACATCAGGTGGAAACGCATTCTGAAGGAATTGTGTAGAGGATCTTCATGCCGACGACTTCTGGATTAATTGAGGACGCCGTGACGACCCAGTAACCCCCCAGCGTGCAACAGACTGCGCACAACCAGCAGGAGATGTGAAAGCAGAACCAGTGAACCCCTTATTGCAAAATAAACGGGATCCCACTTGCCGAAGGCATCTGAAGGTAAAGCGCCTTCGCCTGAATATTCTTAAATCCAGATGGAGGATCGACTAAATGAAGCGGCGGAAGCGGTGCCTAGGCTAAGCATGAAAGAATGAAAAAACCATCAGCAATGACAGTGTAACTCGTTATACGCTCCGTCATATATAGGCGCGGATGCGGAGTTTAAAATGAATCATACACACGCCTCAACCCTCTTAATCTGCTGCCGCACAAAATATTGTACCTCCCATCTTGTCAGCTCTCCGACCGCCATCCGCCAGTAGCAAACAAGGAGCAAAGGCATATGAGCTACGTCTGCCGAATGAACGTTCCTCCATTAAGTAGATCACGATTAGTAGAGATGCACAGGGTGACAAAGAAGATGAAAGGGAAATATCAATAATATATATGATAAATGATAAATGACCAATTGACTGAGAAACAGAGAAGGATGGAAAGAAGCCATATGCTTTGTTTGCTCTGTCGATCAGAGTCATTGATAAAGTTCGCACTCGTAGCTCTGAGAGAGGGAGAAGTGGCAGAGACCAAAAGAATGAATGAATAAGAACTACGGCACTCAGGATTCCCATGTAGTCCCCTTCCATGGTACTAACTGACCGGTACTCAGCTTAACTTCGCAGATCGGACGGGAGATGCGGTGCTTCCCGAGTCCTATGACCGTAGATGCCTGGCCCTACATTCCCGCCTCTGATGAATATTCCCACCGCTCGGGGTTGACAGACAAAGGCACTAGATTGGAAAGCATGTATGGTCGTGGGCATGGCTGTCCTGTCATAACGTGGGTGCAAGTCTTCGAAACGAAGGGCAAGGGGAAAGAGAATGGTGTCGCGTTCTCATTCTGCTTCCACAGCCAGGGCGACGAACCTAACCGAGCTCTCAAGTCTCCGTGAACATGCGAATAGCTTGAATACATATAACGCTCCGAAGATTTGGGCGTAAAGGAACGGAGTTAAGAAAAAACCGCATCAATGACCAATGAGATCTCGAAACGACTCGCAAGCAATCGGGGGTCCAGTGAGTGGAGTGTACAACTGCCAGTTGCTAACCGTAGTCGCTCGACAAAGCAGCGATTCGTCACCCGAAAAGGCAAGTACCGAAGAGTCTGTTGACTGTTCTCCAGGTCCCACAACACAAGTCCCTTAGAAATGGGACATCCCTCAGGCGGGATTCTATTAGTAGTGACTGCAGTGAAATATTGAGCTATGAGGTGCCTCGGTATTCTGGGTCGTACCACCCTCTAGTTGTCGCCGCCAACCGCCAAGGATCGCACATGCCCAACTTTGGGCATAATTAGTACCAGTTGGGGAACCAGCCTAGGGAGAATCGAATTTGCTCATCGAAGATAGGGAAAACCTACAGACAAACTGGATTGCATCCATATGACATCCTACGGTCTGGCTCTGACTCGAACATCCAACTCAGGTTTAGCCGTCTCAGCCTTCTCACTCCTGGGACGAAGCGGTGCAGACACTGGTGAAAGTACTTGAAACTCTATTGCGTTGAAACAGTTTATCCTTTGTGGATTTATATGTGTCTTTCGTTCAGGTGCGGAGGTTTGACTTGGTTCGATCGTGCTCCTCCTCAAACGTCATTTATTTATAAGCTGCTGGGTATCTATGAGGGGCCGTTCCTTCGCTCGCTGAGCACCTCCGAACCTTGCCGTTCCTTGCGTCTCACGATAACCCTTCCTTTCTTGCATGATGTCGGCGTCTGAGGTTGCCCATGATTTTTTTCCTCAGCTGGAAGGCGCTGGTCCAGAACTTGTTCAATCTCATACGCATATCAGCAGCGTCCTTCGACCATCTAACCCAGCTGTAGCACGCTCTGATCGTCCGAAGCCTTTCAAATTCCCTGACCCTCGGAATCATCCCGACTCCGCTAACTGGTACACCTTTGACTCAGATCTATACAAGAATAATGGTTGGTCAATATTTATGTTTTACATCATATCTTACTTATGACCCATTGTTATCCACAGATAATCTGGTCGTCAGTTCCCCGTCTCCGGACTCTGAGCAGGAGGTCCAAAGCCAGATTTTCCAACACCGCTCCATCTCTTCCCCTCAACTTGCACAATCTACTAGCACATTTCCTAATGCCTCCCATCATCATGAACACACCCAATCTCACACTGATCCAAAGCCACGTCGCCCCTCCCTCCAAATTAGCATACCAGATGAGATTGCATCACGACCGTATGCAAATCGAATGAGGCCAGGAGCCCGGTCCCCCAATTCCCCCTACGCTCGGCCAGCAGATACCATGTATCATTCTTCCGGTTCTTCAGCAGTTACGGCTGGTCCCAGCCACATTACCCTCGCAAAACCCAATTCCACGCGTTCTTCTCTGGCTTGCAACGCATGCCGAAAGCGCAAAGTCCGATGTGTCGTTCCCGAAACAAAAGACGGAGGGCAGGATAAGCCGCGCGTCTGCGAGCGGTGTTCGCGAATGCGGTTGGACTGTGTGTGGGGTGAGGAAAGAAGAAAGAAAGGCTACAAAGAGAAGGACCCGTCGGATTCACACTCGTTGTCCCCTTCAAGGAATTTTGTGCCTTCGAGGATCGCGGAACAATCTGGCGGAGGCTCACGGTCGTTGGCACAGACGACTTCAAAAGAGCACACTGACCCGTGAGTGCCATTTGTCCTGCATTTTCATTCCCCCAATTCATTTTGGGATTCATCTCCGTCGGTATAACATAGACCCACCCGGGCAGCTCCAAATCATATCCATTATACCCCTGCTCGGTTTATGACCGATTCTCGGCAAGGTGATATTAATCTATCGCGTCGTTCTTCAGCAGGATCATCTTCCGTTATCTCCGGACAATCTAATCACCCTGCGGAGGGTATAACTATCGCTCGCTCACCTATCGCTTCCATTTCCCCCCATACTAACCTGACTTTCTCCCCCGCTTCCGATATCACCGCACACACATCAGTCTCTCCCAACGCTCCCGTCACCACCTTCGAACATGGTTTGAGTCCGTCATCTACAAAGCCTGTGCCGGCTGGCACGTCTCATGCACAAACTTATACCCACCACCCAATTAGTGCTTCCCATGTTCTTGGAGTCTCCCAGGATAACTTCTCTCAGTGGTCCGGGCAAGGTTATATGGAAAAGTTTGCTGGACCGTCAACAGATACTCACGTTCCAATCTCTCATCCTGTCTCTGAGAACAGTATTGATGCTGGATCTCAGGGAGCGTACAGTTTCCAAGGCCCTATGGATGCCGCAACGAGTGGTCATACCCTCGATGGGTCCACTCAGAGTTTCCAGAATCTGTGGGGACAGGGAATCACTCTTTCCACGGCATTCGATATTCCAGGCTTTCCCAGCACAACCACGGCACCAGACCCCTCTGCCATATCGGGCCCACAATACTTTCCCAGTCAACGCCTTGTGCAACACCCGCTAGGCCCCTCGTATCCTTATGTCAGCCAATTCGGTTCCAACGATTGGACGCAACTGGAACAGTCCCTGATGACCAACCCCTACATTTCTCTCCCTCTAGATCAAGGCTTGTTTTGGTTTAACGCTCCTGGCCATCAAGCGGACCCTCAGGGGCAGAACATCCAATGTTCACCGGATCAATCCGACCCAGCCGTACTATACACTGACCTTCCGCGCGCAGGGTCGGTAATTAGCTCTGATGGCTATTCCGAGGGTACCGCGGGCATGAGTGCTTTACTCCAGAGCAGAACTCAAAACGGACAGATTGACAGTGAAGTTTGGACTAGCTTGGAAGTTGAGGATTTGGTCCATGGGACATCAATGGATTTTCAAAATCACAACGGACCGGACATCCAAAGAGAGGATGCCCGAAATTGCGATCAGCTAACATATCCTCCTGCCCCTGCGGGCCCCGAGCAGCGTACTAGCCGATATGACACCGCATTAGTCCATTCTCAGTCTCCATTTCATTCGGCTGCCGCTGATCTGATGGGGTTCGGTCTTGTGCCGAATCCTGGTGTTGACGGAGATACGCCCACCCCTTCTGCTCGCGACCATTCATCGCTTTGGGCCAGCCTGGGTCTGGCCCCACGGGGTCCCTCATGCCCTCCCTCATTCTCGCATGCAGATCCCGGCATCAGCCAATCGTCATTTCATTGATGGCGATTTGCGTAAGAGGGATATGGATGTTCCTGCTCCATTAATGGTATCATTTCATGTTGAATTGTGAGCAGTGCTCTGCGGCTGGCGGAGAGGTGCTGCTGGCTAATGTCCCGGCGCTGGTGTCACAGTGAAGCAAGGGCCAATTACGACTGGCTTGAGGCTGTGTCGGTTTCCGTTTTCGCTCATCTTTGTTTTGTTTCGTGTCAGGGTCACTTATCGGAACTTACTAATGAGGCCGAGAATTAAGTTAGTTCTGGATTGGCGCTAGGATCTTTGTGCTGCTTTGACAGTCACATAGCATCTAGCAACGTTCTTAGCAACGTTCTGCGTGTATGTAAAATAAACTTGATGTTCTCTTTCGTGCCGCAATTTTGCCTTGAGATTGTATTGTACCCTGTTTCCACCGTTACCACCGAGAGTGAATATTGTTAATCGAACACCGCGTACTGCGGGACTGCGTGGCAACTGAAAGTCCCCGATAAGGCATTTGCACCGTACTTAGCACCTATTCTCCTGGGAAGGCATATGCGTCTGTATTTGGCGATAAATGCTCGCAACCATCACGGTTAGGCACAACAGCAGCAATTCGAACCAGCGAGGTTTCTCCACATGCGTGGTACTTTGTTTCCGGTATGAGATCAGCGACCCATGCAATGAAACACATCCCCTGACGTAAGCAGAGGGGCGCGGAGGCTTCCGACCTGAGGTGGGCCATTGGCGCTCCTCAAAAGCCGGAAGCTAGCTGTAGCCATAGCTTTGCCCCATTTCCCCATGATGATGTCCTCAATTCCTTTACAACTTGCTGAAGATTATGACGATGATGCTTTATTTGATCAACTTGGTATTTCCGCTAAGGACAGAGCCGTCCGCCGACGAAGTTCTAGAGGTGGGCATCTTCTTCGATCGCGTAATCAGGCAGCACTCAATGCAGAGTAGCTTGCGACTCGTGTAGGAAGATCAAGAGTCGTTGTGAGCCCCCTTCGGCGTCGGGCGAGCCATGCAAAAGTTGCGCGCTACTCGGGCTGGGTTAGTGGTTTTAGCGATTTAGAGTGTCGATAGAGGTTAATGCTTCTTAAACTTTGTTCCAGCTTGCACATTTCTGGGTAGGTTACACATTTGTGCTCTACGTGAACTCAGACTGAGGTCCATGACTCTACACCTTTCCTTGACCGTCTTTGTTAGGCCCAAGTCGTAAACGGTGCGTCGGCTCCATTCTTTGGATACTTTATGCTCAGCTTTTCGTCGACTATCCTTTCGTGCCATGGTGTGTCCCCCTACTCAACCGCCACCCGTTAGAGGTCCTCCAAAGGGCTATATCGACGCTATCGAGACGCGATTACACCAACTGGAAGCTATCCTTGGGACTTTCATATCCACCTCCGACCCTCGTGCACAAGGTCTCATTGCCAACCTTCGGCAAGATGGTCTTGCGTCGGCCGTCATTGACAGGGTGGACAGTTCGCCTTTCGGTACTAAGGCCAGAATTTCCGTTGCAGCTCAAGGGTCCTTCTCTGCTGATAAGAGTAAGGCCCAAAGAGCCCAGGGACCTCGGAAGGCCCAACCTGCCGGGTCAAAGGTTGCTGTCACGCAATCCGATGGTTTGTATCTTTTGCTTCCAACAATTAGTTTTCACTTTCTCATGATTTTCTTCTCGACAGACCCCAACGAAGTGGATCCTTATGACTGGCAGAATCGCCTTGAACGCTTAATGCAATTGGGGGCTGGTGCAAGTTCCCCTTCTTCCTCGTATCCTCTGCTTAGTGAAAGTGTCGCAAATGACACATTGCCCAATTGGACTCCGACAGGGCCCAGCAACCAGCGGCGTCGTATTGGTGACCCCAGCGCGCCCCTCAATGCCAGCACGTCGGACTCAGGTGGCATAAATAATAGTCAAACTAATACCTGGTCTCCTCCATCAGCTCATTCTGCTTCATCTCCCCTGTTTCATTTGACACATTTCGGAGCTCGGAGGCCGCTATACTACCTTCTGATAGACATCAATCTCACGGGGATAGCGAAGGGACGGGTGACGATGAGTCGGATGAGCTTTCCCAAATGGGTCAATTGTCCATCGACGACCACTCTGACGTTCGGTACCATGGCCGAACCTCTGGATTACATCTCCTCGCCAATGCATCTGCGTCTGCTGCGGCTAAGGTTACGATATCAGGGAGGCGTGATCAACTGTTTCACCCATTATCTCAATCCCAATCTGGAGATGGCACGTCGGACAATAATTCTCACACCAAGAAGACTACGGAAGATACGCCCGGGATATTTGTACCCAGTACAGGCCAGAAAGGTGGGATTTGGTACTTCCCTCGTTCAGGCGTTTGGCCGGCCGTCGATCCAAGTAAAGACCACCGCGCGACAACGCAATCACAATCTTCTGGAAGCCGAGAGGTTTCATACTCACCAAGAGGCTACACTACCGGCGCGCCATTGAAGGAAGATAGTCCTTCCTCAGATCAGTACAGCGCAAGGGGTTCATCTATCACAGATGGTTCGTCTCTACCGGGGAAGCTCAAGCACACAGTGTCCCCGGCGGTCACGTGGATAGGGCCCTCACAGCCTGATCCTGAAGGGGATCTTGCGGAGCGCGATCCCATTCTTGTGCAACAACGCCTGGCCAGCATACCTACTTTCATCGAGGAAAGGGATCTTGATTTGGTTGTCGTGAAGGTCTCTTTGCCACCAAGGGATGAGCTTGACGAATTAATGGCACTCTATTGGAGACACGTTCACCCGGTGTTGCCGGTTGTACACAAGGCCCACTTCCAAAGGTCGTATCGAGCAGCGTGCGTGATTTATACTGTTCATGTTGAGCATTGCTGATAATTGTACCATTTAGTTTCGACGGGACGGGAGATGATTATTCCCAGGAGAATAGCCAGTCATCTGAGCCTGCTCCAAAGCCAATATCTCTTACACTGCTATATGCAATGATGGCCTCTGCATCAAGATATACAAACGACGACAAAGAAAGCGTACCAAAGATGTCGCTGTGGTCAGCTGGGCTAGAATATGCTGATAAAGTTCGGCAGCTTATATGTGAGTGATTTTGTGCAAACGTCCGCTTAGTATCGTTCAAGGCTACTGTCCCTAGATTGGGGAAAAATCCCAAGTCGTTTGTCTACTATCCAAGCCCTTGTCCTTGTCGGGTATCTTGACGTCGGTGTTGGTGCCATGGCTGTGGCCTGGCAGACAGCTGGCCTCGCTGTTCGCACTGCTCAAGACATTGGATTGAACCGCTCAGTTGACAAATGGGTTTCCCACGCGGGTACTAGCGTTTATTCTGATGAAGAAAAGGAGGCGTGTCGGAGAATCTGGTACAGCCTCATGCTTATCGACATGTAAGTAGACGCCCTGGTATTTCTCGTATTTGTTCATTGACTTGTTCCCAGCTATATCTCTACCTATATTGGTCGGCCATGCTCAATATTGCGCACAGACTACGACACCCATCTCCCACAGGATCTAGCCGAGGACGCCCTGATATGGGAGCATCTTACTGACGAATCAATTACTTCATCGTCCAACACATCGTATGTGGCAGGACCCTGCCACATCATCCTATGTTTCCGACACAGAGCCACTCTCTGTAAGTTGAGGATCTTCTGAATCTAACTTCTCACCAGCTGAAGGGCAAATATAGCGTGCATCATGGCGGATATTATTCATAAAGTGTACGCCATTCGGCCTGCCAGCAATCGGACTACTGAGGCGACAAATCTGGAAATACAACTGGACAAGTGGTACTATGATCTCCCTGAACCTCTTCGATATGTCTGTCCAAAATCAGACCGCATTCCAGCGCCTCACATCGTGACACTTCACATGGATTATTGGTGCACGGTCTTACTTTTGCACCGGCCCTTGTGAGGAATTTTTTATCCTCATTCAATTCATTTAAAGTAACTCAACCTTTGTCCTACCAGCATACGAGTCAAGGCACAGAAGCTAAATGTTATAAAGTCTGAAGCAGAGGACGTTGCTCCAAGTCCGTCGGCAGTGCGTTACGCACAAAAGGCGTACAGTTTGTGCGAAAAAGCAGCCAATATGCTGGTTGCAATTGGTAAGTCTTGGCTATCTAAGACGTCTATTTTAAGCCTGTCGCTGAGTTAAGTCGGCTGACTATAGTTTCCGCATATGCCGATAATTTCTCAATGGAGTACTGTCCAGCGTTCATTACTTTCTTCTTATTTACTGCAAGTATTATGCATGTCACTATTTGTACGTCTCTCCTTTCAGCTCCAGGTCCCTCGACGCTGAGCGAGCCCGATTTTAGTGTTTGATTCTCCAGGAGATGTGCAGTCCACTCAAGCGCTGAAGAAAGCTATGGAAATTCTGGAGCAGATGTCAATTGTCTGGCCGAGTGCTGGTCGGGCCTGGGACGTTTTAAACAAGTCTAGGGCTAATATTCACGAGGCCGAACTTACCTCGTGTCAAGATACTCCAGAAAGACACAAGCGAGCTGCAGAGGACGATCTCGAAGTTTCGCAATTCCACACGGCGAACGAAGACCACCTTGAAGCGAGGCCTAATTGGGCTGGGGCAGGCCAGGACTTCGTGCAACCTTCATACCCTGCCAGCGCGAAATTTTTTCCTGTTACGTCTACGGCTGCGCCTATTCATCCAGCATTTTTAGATGGAGCCCCCGATCCAGCACAGCAACAAGATAAACCTCTCTTTTCACATCCCCCGCAAGCTGTTCCTCAATCACTTCCCGACTCGGGTCAATCCATTTCTGGATTTGAGAATTTCACCAGCAGTTCCATTAACTCTCAGTTAATCCCCAACCAATGGGCAAACACTCGTGATCAGGTGCCCGAAGCCCGTCCTCCTATTTCTTCATTGCCTCAACAGCCACTCCAGCACCTCCCTCAACAACACCTTCAACATCAAACAACTTCCTATGAATACGATTCTCGATATCTTCCTCCACCCCACCCTAGTTATGCGTATCAGCCCCCTCCATTGCAACCACCTAGCGGGCCTGTCTATCCCAATTTCTTGGGCAAACTCCTAGGGAATCCGCATTGGTCAATCCTTTGTCGAATCGCACTTTCACCGAACAGCCCTTCTGGACCGAATTCGCCGCCAATGATCCATTTGGTGACCCTTCGTCACTCTCCGCATCGCTTTATAGCTTGCCTCTTGTTCTTGACAACGGAAGAAACCCCCGTGGACCGGAGCCCGTACCTACTCCGTTAAACGCTCCATCCATGTTCCAGATGTTCGACCGACAAGGTGTTCCTTCAATCGATCGCTTTGGCTACCCCTCATGAACGTGTGTCGGTGATAGCTTCTCGGATCACAGGGAATGTTCCGGCTTCTATCCGTCTCATTCAGGACTAGCTTTCTGGCGTCGTATCTGTTTAAATCTGATAAGTTGTACCTATTCTTGTATTTGAGATCTAATTTACAGATATGACAACTCAAAGCTGTATCTATAACCTACTACATATCTCTAATTTCCTTCATGTTATGCACTCGATGACAAATTGCAGGAGGACCGCCCTACGCGGAGATCAAAGCTTCCATACATGCTCTGCCTGCCCAATCTTGAAGAGACCCAACCAGCTCCGGCGTAATAATATCATTTGTTGTCCTGGATGCAAATACCATTTGTGCGGAGCATGCACATATCCTGCCTTGCCATCTTCGACCCTCTGTTGCCACATGCAACTTTTCCTTGAGAGGTGTGATATTATGTGATCCTGCCCCACTCGGCGTCGTTGTATGTGACGCAGGGAGGCTTATCGGGGGAACAGCAGATGATTCACTGAGCTTCGACAGCGGAATTTCGTCGCTCGCAGTGTTGGATGGTTGAAAGACATGGGCTAAGTGGAGCAGGTGGAAAGTCTCCATCTATGAATGTGCAACCGTAGTTTAGAAAAGAATGTGGACGAAAGATAAGAGCTAGCCTGCCTCCAAACTCCTTAGTTTTGGAACGACGGATAACGCATACTCGATCAGATTTTCGTTATGGTCTAAGAATGCCGTTTGACGCCCTTGAGAGGAATAGAAGCTGGGCGAGTATTAGTCGGAGGATTCCCAAAAACTCAAAATGAGACAAACTGACGAATCCGCGGATGCATTTACACAAGTGTCCAGTATGTTTGAGCCAGGTGGAGCGAGTTGTTTCAATGATTCAACCAGCTGGGCAGTTTTTTGAATGCAGTTATAGGTACATTGTATTGTGAATGCGAACCTTTTTCCGGAGATAAGGATCTGCGGGTACCTAACAGAGAGTGGATAAAAATGATTTCTCGGGTGAATGAGGTCAATAAGTTCGAACCGGTTTGCTGATTCGATACGCATCCTTTGCGAAACCATCTCCTGTCCTGGAGGAAGTGAAATCGTAATCGTAATTCCTCGTTATGGCAACACTGGCTTCAGGCACTGCAACAGAGCCTGCAGGCTGACACAAGAGTCAATTGCTGCAGCAATAGAAAGGCGAACTTGAGTTGGGGGCCAAACTTACTACGTTAGCAAGTCCGCCACAAGAACCAAATCGGATGATGTACATGTCTCCATCGACACATTCCCGGCACTCCCGCACGAAGAAGTCCATGTTTGCGAACTAGGCATTGTGGTCAGGCCTGCTGGCTGACATGAAAGCTGGGGTTAGACAAACTCACACCCATGCCTATCGCAACGACACTCAGGGGTACACCCTTGTATGTGCCTGTCATGGTTAGGAAACCGCGGTCGCTCTCTACTTTGATGATACCACCATCATTGTAGTCGAACTTCTCCGCCAATTTGAGAGCTCGATGAGGATCGCCTACAGTGACCTTTGCGAAGGAGGGCACAGGATGTCGGTGACATAAAGATAAGATTCATCGGTGGCCCCGCCGTACTCACGATTCGATTGGCAAGTTCCCCCAGTCGGAGACCAAGATGGTACACTCGACCATCCTCGGATCTCGGGAAATCTGTCCACGACGCATCGGGATCATTCTAGAACGATTCAACATCTTACTTACTAGCATCAGTAAACTTCGCCCTCATGTTCGGCGCTTGAAGGGCGAACGGATAGCATGTCTGGTTACATAAGCACAATCTCCAGGCTCCGGAGACACTGCTCCGGATAAACACGTCCGATACAGCACGCGTACATGAGTACAAACACTTTCCAGGAATAACTACCGGGTGTGATCGGGCGAAAGATACTTAACATCAAAGCTTATTCCTCGTCCTGTCTTTGTGCTTCGTCAGTTTGCCTTCCTCAAGAAGAGGAATAAGATGGTCTAATCTTTGAAGGTACAAAGCCCAACGTCAGGGCCAGGATTGGAGCACGAAGTTTTGTGTTGACCTACTCAGTGACGACACAGTCTGTATATTCCACATCAGCCAAGTGGGCATTATGACCATCCTGGGCCAGTAAGAGTACAGTCAGGGCACCGGCATTCCTCCCAGCAACCATGTCTTCAATACTGTCACCAACCATCATCATCTCACATGTCTGGACGGCCCACTGCTTCTGAATGTGTAGAATACAAGCTGGATGGGGTTTGTTTGGTTTGAAAGTCCGTGTCATAATTGGGGAGAAAGTGAATTCCGGAAGGAAGGTTTGAAGGAGATGGTTGACGGGTACATCGAAGTTGCGGGTGCAAATAGCTTTGCAGATCCCTCGCTCGGTCAGATATTTCATCAAAGGAACCAGTCCCAGCTGAGGTTTCATTTGCGCCTTCAGATTAAGTCAGAGGTGGCGAAGCGTGGACGTGCAGGTACTCGCCATGGCTTCACGTTCGATAGCCCGGATGGACTCCTCCGCGGCCACCCGATTGGGTGGCAAGAGAGATTCAATGTGATCTAGGATGTCCACACTCTTTCCTATCCCAAGCGCTTCTCGCATTTTTCTGAACATCCATGTCTATTATACCAGCGATCAAGTAAGATCAATGTAATGAATTTGAGAGTCGTATCTCAGGGTGGTGGCTAATGATCCTTTACACATACCTGCGGCTCGCAAAGAGTTCCATCCATCTGTAAAATGGGGCCCAAACCGCAAGCTTAGCTGCATTTGCAGTCCGGATTTTCTGAAGGAGACTCACATCAAAAACAATTCCCTTCAAAGTTGGAAGTCCAGCTGACAGCCCTTGCCGTAGAGTCGCAGGATTTAATGGGGCGAACATTCCGTGCAACCGCATCAGAGTGAAGAGAAGATTCTAATAGCCCGTCTCTAATCTTCAGCAATCCCCCCACGATGCTTGATAGTATGTATGACTCGCCGGCCCGTTATCGCTGTGCTGCTGTGGCGATCTTGGTGGCGTGACGTTAACGACGTTAGGGTCTGACAGGGTCATAGAGGCACCCGAGTAGCACAGCGCGTGATGTGGCGGTCCAGATGTGCAACCAAAGATTGGAGTTCTGGGGCGTTGTCCGCTAATAATCCCGACACATCTTGCCTCGATACAGATTAATGATTCCTGTGGTTCTGGCACCCCGGCACCGGTTCCCCCGGCCTCCGGGAATTGCCGGAGCCGCCAATCAATTCAGTTCAATCCGGTTTGTTGGTCGTGCTAGTACACAAAGCTTACGGGTCGAGGACTACGTCAGAAACCCACACAGTAGAAAAGTCGAGTTCTGAGGCTTTAAAATGATAGGAAGGCTGGGCCAGGCGATGAGGTGCAGCGATGAATGAGGGTGTTAGCCTCAGGCGCTCAACGAGAACATGAAGTTATTAATATAACAATATGATTCGGACAACTACAGCACAGCTAAGGCCGCTAGAGGAGCTGGCCTGATTGACTCCTCAATCCACTAATCGTAACTAACCTGAAGCAACAACAAAACAAATATCAAGCGAAGAAGATACACAGACGCTCACACGCCAGATGAACAAATGAATTCGGCCAACTCCTCGTTGGTCCGTACAGAGAAAATAAAGACCAAACCGGGGATTTCCTCTGTTTCGTCGCTTCCCAGAGAGGGCTGCTGATCACGTGACTTATCGGAAGCAAAATCATCAGCTGCCACGTCAGGTGGTGACACGTAGGAAACTTTGATCGCTTTTAAACACCTCTCTTGGTGCAACTTCTGACTTCCCCAAACTCAGTCAGCCTCACTCATTTCGTTCACCTTGTTCTTTTGTTCGACAATCGACAATGCGTAGCAACGCAGCTGTCTCCGTTCTCGCCTTGGCGGCGTTGGGCGTGGTCAGCGCTGACAAGCCTGCTTATGAGGTTGACCTCTCTTCCTTGCTGCATGTTATGGCCACTGACTTGTCCTCGCTGTTTGAACTTTCTACTAGGCTACAACTATCAAAGGTCACTTCGTCGAGCAATTCACGGACGACTGGACCGATAGGTGGACACCGTCTGCGGCAACGAAGAAAACTCCAGTTGGTGGTGAAACCTTTAGCTATGTTGGAAAGTGGTCTGTTGAAGAGTCGACGAAGTATCCCGGTGTTGAGGGGATAAGGGCCTTGTTGCCAAGACCAAGGCTGCTCACCACGCTATTTCGGCGCCTTTCGACTCTGTCCTTGATCCCAAGGGCAAGACTCTCGTCGTGCAATACGAAGCCAAGTTCCAAAAGGGTGGCAACTGTGGCGGTGGTTACTTAAAGCTACTCGAAGATGGTTTCCAGAGGGAGGGCCAGGATTATAATGATAAAACACCATGGGTTGTTATGTTCGGTCCAGATTTGACCTGCCCCGGTACCAAGGTGATACTGGATGTCATTTCCCTCCCTGCCAACACTGAAGCTTGTTCAGGTTCATTTTATCTTCCGCCATCAAAACCCCGTCAGCAAAGAGTGGGAGGAGAAGCACCTCTCCTCACCACCAACCCCGTTAATCGATGAGATGACCAAATTGTACACTCTCATCGTCAATCCCGATAACACCTACGAGATCCTTATCGACGATGAGAGCCAATCGAAAGGTAGCCTTCTTGAGGACTTTACCCCCGCTGTCAATCCACCGGCCGAAATTGGTGCGTCCGAGATTGCCTGTGGATATCCTCTTTTTGTTCATTCCCATTTCAGATGATCCCGAGGACAAGAAACCCAGTGAATGGGTTGACATCGCGAAGATTCCTGATCCTGAGGCCCAGAAGGTTGGAGATGTGTCTTGGAATGACCTGCGAAGAACCATTGACATCCAGTTCACATGTAGCCCGATGACTGGGATGAAGAAGCTCCTTACTCCATTTCCGATGAAGAGGCTCAGAAGCCTGAAGACTGGCTTGATGAGGAGCCCCTGCAAATTCCTGATCCCGGTAACTTTGACGTATTGATACTGTTTTGTGTCCCACTCATTCAACTCCCTAGATGCTGAGAAGCCTGAAGAATGGGATGATGAAGAGGATGGCGAATGGGTCGCTCCAACTATTCCCAACCCTAAGTGTGCTGAAGCATCTGGCTGCGGTGAATGGGTTCGCCCTACGAAGCCCAACCCAGACTACAAAGGGAAATGGTCTGCTCCTTTAATTGATAACCCTGATTACAAGGGCCCATGGGCTGCCCGGAAGATTGCGAATCCTAATTACTTCGAGGATAAGAACCCCGCCAACCTGAACAAGATAGTAAGTGACAATGTGCCGCTCCCATGGACTGTCACTCATTCCTTACGTCGATTAGGGTGGTATCGGTTTCGAGCTTTGGACCATGACCGAGGATATCTTCTTTGATAACATCTACATTGGTAACTCTGTCAAGGATGCCAAAAAGCTGGCCAAGGACACTTTCCACGTCAAACATGCGCTCGAGAAGGCCGCTCGTGAAGTTGAGAAGCCCGAACCAACGCCCGAAGACGAGGTTGCCACACTCAAGTTCACCGATGCTCCCTTGGAGTGGCTTCGTAACCAAGCTTTCACATTCATTGATTTGGCCAAGCTTGATCCTATTGCCGCCTTCAAGGCCAAGCCTGAGACTGGTGCTGCGCTTGTTGCCGTCCTTCTTACGTTCCTGGGCTCCTTTGGCGCTCTCTTTGGCCTTATCGGTGGATCACAGAAATCAGTCAAGTATGATCACCTCAATTTCACCAATTGATGCACATGCTGACCCACGGCACCATCAGTCGGCAAAGGCCCCGCCCAAGTCCGAGAAGAAGGCTACCTCCTCTGATGCCGCTCCCACTACCGCTGCCACACCAACTAGTGAGACAACTGCCACTGAAGTGAAGCCAGCTGCCACGAAACGCAAGTAGATAGTTGTGCTGATTTATGACAAGCCTTTCTCCATTCTCTCTGGACTCGTGTCGTGCATCATATGACGCTAGATGATTGAGTTTGGAGTGTGCAAACCATTCGTGTGGGGGTGTCAAGGTTCGGGATGGTGACGTTTATTGGACATCTACTACATTCCTTCTAATCACTCACCAACTTCGACACTCATTCCCTCCTATCGTCCCTTTGGACAATCGCTTGCTCCCCTCTCTCTGCCCTCCTGCATGGTTGTCACATTGTGCTTGCATTGCTTTTCCGCTATCCGAACTTAATCTATTGAACTGATTGATGTTACTCATTTTGGAATTGACCCGGCCTAGTTTGATCTTTGTGAAACATCCGCAACTGAACGTTATGTAAGGTCTGCGTTTATCATGCTGTTACTGGAATCCCTGTCGAGCCTCTAAGTGAGCGCACGTCGAGTTGCCTATTTTGGTAATCCCACCGGTACTGCAGCAACCGGTACGCTCCGCTGCGGCTCTCTCGGCACTGTGGTTCGCCAACCCAAAAACCAGCAACAAAAGCATAATCACCCCTAGCGATCAATAAACCGATAGACATGCAAGCCTCAGAGCTGATCTTCGGGTTCCGACGCTATTCGGAGTAAAGGGCCAGGTGCACTTGTGACAGTGGAGGTTCTGGCGTAGGCACGATGATTGCCAGTGCACTTGTGCAGAATGGTGCCAGGGTGTACATTTCGTCAAGGAAAGAGAAACATGAAGGAGGTGAGCGTGACTATGAGTTACTGGCCCCAGTTAGTTCGACGGTTAGTCGATAATGCTGTTCCCACACTGTTTACTGTCTAGGTGTCGGAGGCCCTGACCAAAGCTGGGCCAGGAAGCTGTCACTACTTTGTCACGGATCTTTCTGTGAGCAGCTAGTTCGATCGAAGCGCGCGGGGACAATCCTGGTGATAGATGTGTCATGCCTCACATAACATGCAGACGAAACAAGGAGTGGATAGTCTTGCCGCATTCATCAAATCCAAGGAACCAAAACTACACATCCTCGTTAACAATAGCGGTGCAACGTGGGGTGGGAAGTACGATGATTTCCCGGAGAAGGAAGGATGGGATCGAGTGATGAACCTCAACGTGAAAAGTTTGTTTTATAACTGCTGCTTTGACGCCGCTTCTGGTGAAAGACTCGACGAATGTCACTCCTGGAAGGGTGATCAATATTGCGTCTGTCGCAGGCATTTCGCCGCATGCAGAGGGGGAATTGAGTGGAGAAGCGAGTGGAGTATATTCATATAACGTATCCAAGGCGTGAGTTGCATTTTTCTTTTTGCTTCATCCCACATCTCGTGTACTGAACGTCACACTCTTCAACTGTGCAGCGCTGCGATTCATCTGACGGACATACTCGCGGTGAAGCTCATCTCGAGTAACGTCACTGTAAACGCTATTCTTCCAGGCGTCTTCCCTTCCAAGATGACAGCATGGGGTCTAAAAGAAAACAAGGATGAATTGTTATCAGCGCAACCGACTGGTTCGTCTGCTTCCCTTTCCTTTGGCTGTTCACTGTTAAGGACGTCTCACTGATTGTTCGTTCTGCATTGAATAACTTGTTGACTCTAGGTCGACTCGGTGATGCAGTAGATATGGCCGGTATTGCGCTTTTCCTTTGTAGTCGGGCCTCTGCTCACATCACTGGCGCGCACATTGTCATCGATGGTGGAAGCATGCTTGCACGCAATAGATTGTAGAAGCAATGATACATACTTGCCGCGCTGTTCCACCTGTGTAACGTAGCCTGAGAATTTCTACAGAGTTGATTAAGTTTTGGTTTGAGTAAAATCCTGAAACTCCTAAGGCGGTACGTTGTACATATCGTTGCTTGTATACTACGCTACTGCAAGCGTGAAGAACAGGCAGCAGTGCTGGGTTCGAAGGGCGGCCAGAATA